CCAAACTTCCCCCCGCTCTTGCCCACCTTTTCATCATCCTGCTCTGTTCCGCTCCAGTGAGATGAACACCCCGTGGAGGGGACCACGCAGGTCTGATCTGGTCCTACGACTCCTCCTCCTAAGCCTCCTCCTCATCCTCCTCATTCTCCTCCTCTCTCCCTGATCCCAATCCTCTTCCACATCCTAATCCTCATCACCATCATCAGAATCACCACCAACACCATCATCATCACCATCATCATCATCAGCATAATCATCATCATCATCATCATCATCATCATCATCATCATCATCATCATCATCATCATCATCATCACCAGCACCAACAGCACCATCCTCATCCTCATCCTTGTCCTCATCAAAATCCCCATCATCACTATAGTCAATGTCGGCAAGAGCATACTTATCATCCGCGCCATCGCTGTCATCGTCATCAGCATCATCACCATCATCATCAGCAGCAGCGTCATCATCACCATCATCAGTATCGTCATCATAATCAGCATCAGAATCATCATCATCATCATCATCATCATCATCATCAGCAGCAGCATCATCATCGTCGTCATCATCATCACCATCACACGATTCATCAGTATCACCACCATCATCATGATCATCCGCATGATCGCCATTCATCATCAGCAGCATCATCAGCAGCAGCATCAGCATCGTCATCATCAGCATCATCAGCATCGCCATCAGTATCACCACCACCACCATCAACATCACCATCATCAGCATCATCACGGCCACGATCACGATCATGATCACGATCGTCATCATCAGCATCATCATCAGCAGCAGCAATTGCATCATCAACTTCATCATCACCACCATCATCGTCTATCATATCATCACAATCATCATCACCATCACCATCACCATTACCATCACGATCACCCTCGTCATCATCAATCTCCAGCCCTTCCTCCTCATCCTGGTTCCTCCTCCTGCTCCTCCTCCTCCTCCTCCTCCTCCTCATCCCCCTGATTCCTCTCCGCCCCAGGCATCGAAGCGAAGGAGGCGGAGCTGACCTGACAAAGACCAGCCGCAAGCATACTGACCCGAGGGTTGAAAACTCTGCCAGCGACGGGATTCAAACAGAGTCGCCCGAGTCGCTAGCTCAAGGAAAGCCCGACAGAGACCCCCTGAAGGACAATCCAGCCTGGGCGTCATGAAGCTGTGAAGACTCCTGCCCCGCCCACCCCCCCCTCCGCTCCCACTCCCGCCCCCCCCCGCTCCCACTCCCGCCCCCCCGCCGAGAAAGTGGGAGGAAGCGGCGGCAGCCCAGTCGCATCTGCAAGCTCCCTGGCCCGCAACAGGGTGGGAGATCCAAGGTAAACGCCGGTGAGATGGGGTGCCCACCTTCGATCCAACCCTGCAGGCGACAACACCTCGAGTCAGCGACCGAGGCGACGGCCCTGCGCAGAGAAGCTCCGCACTCCCCAGGCGGGCCGCGAGCATGCTGCACGGCGCACGCCCCGCGGACCGAGCAGACCACGGCAGGACCTGCTCGGTGGGAGGCCGTGCTGCGACGGATTCCGAGAAAACTCCGGCCGACGCAACATCGAACGGGACTTCGGCGATCCCAGTCAGAACATGCAACCGATGATGCCAGACGGCCGCGGGATCGAACGGCGAGTGCGGCAGAGGTGGTCCCCTTCCCCCCTCGATCGTGCCGATCGCCCTCCCCAGCGTCTGAGGCTGGGCATCGCGGGGGGTAACCGAACTCCTACGATGAGCGACGCTCACACAAAACTGGGCAACAGGCCTGATGGCTCTGCGGGAACCGCCTTGCCAAACGCTGGCCCAGAGGGATGATGGGCAGCTTCCAACTTGGCCGATTCCCATCAGCTTTCGAAGTTCCTTCTCTCTGCCACGCCTTGATCGCAGCCACAGCCGAGACAGGGGATAATGGGGTTTCACCGGCGCCACCTGCGCAGACTCAATACCCACGCCCAGGACGGCCCGCCAGACTATAGGCCTCCCAGATGGGGTCGGAATGGATGGGGTCGGAGGATCGCTCGCGCCACATCGCCGATACATCGACGATGCATCGGCGATGCATCGGCGATGCACCGGCGATGCATCGTCGACGTTGGTGATGCATCGGCGACGACGTGAAGCAAATCGGACTCCACATCGAGCCGCATCGGCGATGCACCGGCGATGCGGCGCGGTCCTCCGACGCCCTCTGTTCCGACCCCATCTGGGAGGCCTAGACAGACCGCCCTCAAGAGATGGGCCGCGGGGTCCGGGGCGTCCGATCCCGCTGCCACGACTTGCCGCGAGGCATCAGCAAGCGGCTTGCAGTCGGTATAAACATTCGGGAGGAGCGGGTACGGCAGCAGGCACGCGGGGCTGGGAGGAGCAGAATCGAAGAGGATTGAAGAGGAGGAAGCGGAGGAGGAGGCTGCGAACGACGTTCTCTCCAGCCACAAGGAACCAGGAGCCAGGAGGAGGAGGAGGAGGAGGAGGAGGAGGAGGAGGAGGAGGAGGGGAGGCTGCGAACGAAGTTTTCCAGCTAGCAGCTGCCAGGAACCAGGATCCAGGCGGAGGAGGAGGAGGAGGAGGAGGAGGAGGAAGAGGGGGAGGAGGAGGAGGAGGAGGAGAAGAAGGAGGAGGAGGAGGAGGAGGAGGAGGAGGATCGAGGGCCATGAGGCAGGCATAGAGCCCCGCCGCTGGCATCGTTTGGGCCAACCAACGCAGAAGGCCGTGCATGCGAGCGGTGACCTTGAACTCCGCGTCCAACGACATAGGCCCCATCCGCAACGCCTAAGGCAAGCGAAGCGGCCATTCAGCCCCGAACGATCACCGAACACGTGCATGTTCGGGAGAACTTCCAAGCGAACGGGTCGAGACGACCCGTTCCTCCAGGCACGGATTGGGAAACGACCTCGGAGGATCAGGGACTAGGACCCTTGACCAGATCAAAAACTCTTCGGCGGTGCTAGCTTCCAGATTGAGCATCAGTGATGCAGCATCAGTCGGACCTCTGACCACTCAGCAGCATACTCACGACAAAATCCGACTGCAGAAAGCCTCAACAGAACGGGCGACAGAACGCCAACTAGCCCACCGGAACTGGCGGCACCCACCTCACGGCTCTCCCCCCGCAGAGTGCCGCTGCGACACGCTTCGTGCCCTCTTCCTCGTCCTCCTCCTGCTCAACATCCGCCACTCCTTTTTGCCCTCGCCTAGTCCTCTTCCTCCATCTCCCTTCTCCCCCTCCCCTCCACCCTCCTCCTCCTCCTCCTCCTCCTCCTCCTCCTCCTCCTCCTCATCCTCCTCATCCTCCTCATCCCACTCACCCTCCTCCTCCTCAACCTTTCCCTGGCCGGACTCACCCACAATTCCGACGAAACACTGCCCATGTTGCCCCAAGCGTGGGGGAACCTCATCCATGTCCTTCTCGAACAACCGTTCGCCGTCCTTGGCGCCACGGCGCTTGCGCTCGGTCAGGATGATGTGTTGCCTGAGGAGGAAGGCGCTGAAAAAGAACCCCCACACACACTAAATCAGAGAGCAGGCCACGATCTAGGCGCCTAGTTTGGGGACGGACGTTTTCCACATAGGCTACGTGCATGAGAAAAGGGGCCCCTGACGAAACCAACGAGGAGGCGACGATCTGGGTGCATGAGTTGGGACAGGGCGACTTCCACACAGACACATCCATGTACGCCTCTGACGCAACCTGTTTGGAGAACGGGAAGATACTGATACCGATGCTCCCAAAACCGTCCTTCTAGAAGACCAGAAAACAACATAAACTTGTGAGATTCGCGCAGACTTCTTGGATCCACGCTGGACCCCCCCCCCACTGGCGCGAGGAGCGCGCCAGGGGCGGCGCCAGGGGGGCGGGGCGCGTGGGGCCGCAGCAGATCTTGCAGAGACCGTTCATCAGAGAGCGCCACTCGTCCGCACTGTCAGCCGCGTATGTTGTCCAAGCCAGGTCATTCGGATCGGATCGAAGCGGCCGTCCGCGGAAGTGCCCGTCCAGAGGCAAAGAGCCGGGGGGATACATCACTAATTGGAACAACAGCCCAGGGAGAGAGGCAGGGAGGGAGGAGGGAGGGAGTGGGGGAGGTAGGATCGAGAGAGGGAGGAGAGGGAGTGAGGGAGGGAGGGTCGAGAGAGGGAGGAGAGGGAGAGGGGAGGGGGGCAGGGGAGAGGAGGGGCGAGGGTGGAGCTCACTCGACCTGGCAGGCCATCTGGGACGAGGAAGACGTGGTCCCTCCCTCTTGCCACCGTCTCCCTCCCCCTCCCTCCTCCTCCTCGCTCCCTCCCTCCCTCCCTCCCTCCTCCCTCCTCCTCCTCCCTCCCTTCCTCGCGCTTGCTCCCGCCTCCTGCCGCTTCCGCTCCCCTCCTCCTCCTCCTCCTCCTCCTCTCCTCCTCCTCCTCCTCCTCCTCCTCCCTCCTCCTCCTCCTCCTCCTCCTCCCTCCTCCTCCTACTACTCGTCCGCCCTACCCTTTTTCCTCCTCCTTTCCTCCTCCTCCCTCCTCCTCCTCCTCTCTCCTCCTCCTCCTCCTCCTCTCCTCCTCCTCCTCCTCCTCCTTCCGCCGCCGCCACCTCCTCTTCCTCCTCCTCCTCCTCCTCCTTTCCTCCCTTTCCCCTCCTCCTCCTCCTCCTCCTCCTCCTCCTCCTCCTCCCCTCCTCCTCCTCCCCTCCTCCTCCTCCTCCTCCTCCTCCTCATCCCCCCTCTCATCCTCACCTAGTTCCCTCTTGCCCTCCCCTCCCCTCCTCCCCTTCCGCCCCCCTCCTCTCGACGACGCCGACGCCGACGCCGACGCCGGCGCCAACAACGACGACGACGACGACAACGACGCTGACGACGACGACGTTGATGACGACGGTGACGCCGTTGACGACGCTGACGACGACGACGAGGACGACGACGATGATGATGACGACGACGACATTGACGACGACGACGACAACGACGACAACGACGAAAGCGACGACGGCGTCGGCGATCGACGACGTCGACGAACGAAGA